TGTCCCTTGGAGCTTTGAAAAAACCAAACTTCCTAAGCCAAAACAATCAAAAGATAATTTTCGAAACTCGCACGGGTATCAAAACCTACAGGGTACTTTCCGTGAACTTAGAATCTTGAAAATTGGTACGAAGTAACGTCTTATAGCACAGATAAAGGAAAGATTGCGAAAACCGTAAATTTTTAGTTACATCATATATTTTTTTTTTTGAATATTTTAAAGTTACTACTTCTTTTCTCGTGAACGCGTAGAGGTATTAAAATGAGTTTGTACGGAACCCTCGCGCGCGAGTCCGACTCTCACTTGGCCGGTTTTTTGTTAATCCCTTTAATACAAATTGTGGAGATCATTTCTTAATTATTAGTCATGAAAAAGTATGCAATAGTAATTCCATTTATATTATAAATGCGAAAGTTTGCATGGATGGTTGTTATTCTTTCACGCAAAAACACTGAAATGATCGGGGAGGAGTCCTAGTACCCTTAGTACTAGTTTTACAATTACGAAAACTATGATAGTTTTCGTGAGCTCGCACTCGTACTTAGGGTACTGATTTTATTGTTTTCGTTTCAATACAAATAAACAGTGTTTAAATTCTATCATTAAATCATTTGCGTCTTCTTAAATTTCAAGTATATTTGGTTAAATTTTCACCAAAATTGACATAGGAACATAATTAAAAATTACGAAAACTATGATAGTTTTGTGTGAGCTCAAACTTGTACTAAGGGTACAGGTATCTTCTTCTTGCTTCCACCGTCACTGGAGTACATTTCCCAGACAAAAAACGAAAAAACTTTATAACCTTTGATTCAGACAAAGTATCCTTTTTATCCCAGAAAAATGTTAGTAGGATTGTTGTAGGATTATAAAAAAACTAAAGCTAACGCGGATAAAGTCGGGCGGACGAATCGTACGTTTATATTTCAATAATGGAAATTTCCGCGATACATTATTGTGTTATCGCATTGACATAGTGTTATATGAACAATGTGTGGCAGTGGTTGAGGGTTTACTGTTTACGGGGAGAGTAAACAAAACTAGTGGAAAAGTAACCCGACCACCGCATGTGGTTCTTGTTGCGTGTTTACCAAACGATGTGTTCGCGCGGTGTCGATGCATGCTCATCTATCACACGTATTTTCATAATACAACGGTTGAATAGTGCATTGACATAACAAGGAAGGGTTCCATTTACTATTGACAATCGTGCTATTGTGTGAAAAAAATATGACGACCCCACATTCTTTTGCGACTTGGGAAGAAACAGTTGTCTGTTATTCTTAATTTATATGGTAGTTAATCCCAGCCCTTACGGGATTAGACAGGACAGACTGTCAAAGGTTAATTAATACTCTGCTAACCTTATTAAACCAATGTTAAGACACGTTAAGATCATTGATTTGACATTGCCTTATACACTGATCGACTTTTACTATCTCAAATATATATATATTATGTATTTTATATAACTACAGTAATTGTAATAAATATTACCGAAGATCTTAACAGCGCATCTGTTTCAATGTCACTATGTCTTCGATGCCCTTAATATAGAAAAAATAGAATGCGAGCGAGTTGCTCAATTTTTGGTGAAGATTGTAAAAGTCGATCAGTGTATTGTATATGGCAATATCAAAAACTGTCGTTGGTCTTAACGTGTCTTACAAAATTTAATTATGTCTTGATAACGCTTTAAATGGATAATGTCGCGAACGACTCCCAAGAAACGTTGTACGTGAAATAGCATATAAGAGTGTTGTAAGTCGTAATCTTAAACGATAATACAAGTTTGAATCATGTGTTAAAAGTAGTGGTCTTATTGGTTCGAGTAAACGATGCCAAGACAGGGCGTTCAACTGTTGATAATATAAGTTATATGACAGTAGTGCGTCTGAAGCTAACCGGGCGCGATGCTATCTCCACCGTTATTTATTGCCCATGCAAATTACACTCGTCCGCTGGTCACACGACCTCTTGTACTCTTCTGCCTATTTCTACTTCTGTTTCTGAACTTAATACTTTGTTAATTGTATCAAATATTTCAGGTATTTCTTATGAACTGTTAACAGTGATAATATTCTTCTACCCTCACTATGACATAGGTTGCTTAATTTTGGAACAACACGATTTTATTTATATGTACTACTAAGTACCATTTAAGAGTCGGGCATGGCACATGAAGTGTTTTAGAGCGGAAAATCATTTCCATAGTTGGACGCCCATGGTATTGTGTAGTGTGGTGAGTCATCGTCACCACCGCCATCAGTGCTCATTTACCGTTACCAGACGGATAAACCGATGCTATCATTCATGACATGACCCCTATAACATCATAATAGAAACTTACATATGTTATAAACACGTAAATTCAACTTTATGATTCGTCGTTTTATTTATGTAATGTAAGTAAAAACAAATTATTTAAACATACGAAAATTATAACTGCGAGAGTGCCATGTCTCTCTCTCTGTGATTTTAACTCCTAAACTGCTGAAACAATTTTGTTGAAATTTGTTATAGAGATATACACATTGAACTTTAAAGCAGGACAGATAGACTATTGTCTATCTGTCCTGCTGTCACAAACCACGCGAACTAGGAAAACAATAATATTTCAATAATTACGATTTGATCATTTACAAAAATCTCAATAGATAATAAATAAATAAATATTTCCAACACTCACACCAATTAGCCCAGCCCCTAAGTAAGCACTGTAAGGCTTGCTTACTTGTGTTATGGGATGTTAGCGTAACGGATAGAATACAACTGTACATATATTAGTAGTATATTTATATAGAAATACATAATAACATCCATGACTGGAGTACAAATGCTCGTATTCATCACACAAACATCTGCCCCCACCGGGATTCGAACCAAATTAATTAATACGGGCCTTTCGAGTCGGCGACACTATGAAACCCGGCAAAGAAACCACTCGACCACGGAGGTCGTCAAAATAATGTGATCAATCGTCGTCTTCAATAATTATTATTATGTGTAAGTTGGATTGTAGATTTCAGTTATAACTTTATGACTAACTGTATTAATAAAATAAATGAACCGTTGTGGTTTTGTAATATCGAGGATCGATAAAAAACCGGATTGAGTAATATAATTAAACGGATTATAATTATTTGCCTTTGCTTCTTGCAGTTTTTGCATTAATTTCTCAACACGACGCTCTCTTTTATATACATACTTATATTAGGTATTTTCTAAAAGATACTACTGTTAAGTGTTTTAGAAGTTACATACAAACAGTGACGTTAGCTATCGAAATTAACAAAAAGTCAATTAAATGTACTCATACCATGCTAATTAAGTACAGGTAAACAAACGGGAAGCGGATGACTTTTTTAAACAACTAGTCTGAATTAAGTACAGCGAAATCTAAAATGTTGATAAGAGTTGGATTAAAATGTAGAATATTGATCTTTATTTTAAAAAGACGCATAGTGAAGTTTTTAGAGTTCCGTACCCATAGGGTAAAATCGGAACCCTATTAGTAAGACTCCACTGTCTCTGTTTGTCACCAGGCTGTATCTCGCAAACCATTATAGCTAGACAGTTGAAATTTTCACAGATGATGTATTTCTGTTGTCGCTATAACAACAAATACTAAAAACAGAATAAAATAAATATTTAAAGGAGGCTCTTATACAGCTAACGTGACTTAATTGGCGTTTTTTGCTCGATATTATAATGAAGTGTCTAATATTGTATAGATAATGGTACGGGACCCTTGATGCGCGAGTCCAACTCGTAGTTGGCCGGTTTTTTACATAGAGATATGTTCAGAGTTCAGACCACTATAACCTGTTTAGTGAATTTAACCGTTAGCTTCCCATGTCTGCAATGCATAAGATAAGTCTGAAGCGTTGTTCTTTATCTTCATTTATTTACCTATTGTCCATATCTGTTATATCCTAAAACAACTCTTATAGTTGTTTTATTAATATGATGAATGTAATGTGCGAACATAAACATTAAAAAAAAAATGTTTTCTGCCTTCTGATCCCAGCTATTTTAGCATATTAAAATCTTGAAAATCACTATAGTTTAATAATGAAGAAGATAAATGAAATAAACACGTAGGTACTTTGTTTATTTGATCGTTAACATTTGAGTCGTATCTTTCTACATCGATAAACAAAGGCGTCCTTGTATGCTGGTATCGTTTTATTGTTCGCCGCAACCCTGCGGTTGCAAGTCCGATACAAAATACATTGAAAATTAAAAGCTGTTGTATCCAACTTTGTTCTAAGGATAATAGTACTGCTGAATTTGATTCTATGATAATATCTTCTTTTTATCTATCGGACAGGCTAACTAATTTACGCATTATAACGCCACAAATTACTTATTTTATGTTTATTAATTATTGTATAAAAAGTTAATGATAAAATGTAAAATCAAATGTTTGTTCAGTTACTTATTATTGCAACAGAAAATAATTATTTTTATTTTATACAGCTTATCGATGTTGAATGTAGTAATTACATTATGGTAAAAAAATATTTTGCCATAATGTTCTTGATACTTTATTTAATAAGTTCATTTTTTTTTATCTATCCATATTCTTAAATACCAGTGCTAACCCTGTTCCTAATAGATTGCAATATAATATGTCTTTGATCATGAGCACTGAAGGGTAACTAGTTATTTAAAAATGATCTCCAATCTTCCGTAACAAAAAATTGTAGTATAAAATATATTGCGCACGTCGGAAACCCTTCAGTCTTATAGAGGATCTCTTGCGTGAATCAGGCGTAATAATAATATTGCAACCATGGCCGATGATATGGTATTTATTGTACTTATTAAATATTGCGAATATCACAAAATATCATTTTGTTTGTGGATGAAAGATCTAATATAATTCTAGTTAAAAAAAGCAACTTTCTTTAGTTGCCTTTTTAACTAGAATTATAACCGTAGGTATTATATTAATGGGTCTGTGTTAGTATAGTATTTTTGTTTTTGTTTTGCAGGCTGCCGAAGTAACTGCTGAAACAGTGAAGAATGAGGACACAGAGGTAAAACCTAATGCCGAAATTAAAGAAGAAAAGACTCCGGAAACTCCAGTGACGGAACCTATTACAAATGGCAGCAACACACCCGAAACTCCTAAAGAGGAAGTTGTAGTTAAAGAGGCCCCCGTCACGAGTGTCGAGTCTGATAAACCTGAAACGAAAACAGAACCGGAACCCGAGAAACTGCCTATTAATGGACTTTCTATAGAGGAACCCATTAAGGAAGAGCCTGAAATTCCAAAAATTGAAGAAAGCCAACCAAAGGAATCTTCTGCTGAACCAACTGAAACAGTGCCAGCCGTTGAAATTCCTGTTCAAAACGAGGTTTGTGTTGAACAAATGCCTTTGATAGAATCCACGCCTCCACCACTTCCCGCGAATCCCCCTCCCTCTTCAGTGGCAACTTTCGCCGCTACTACCATGGCACCAGATTTGACAGATGCTTCGCTAGCTAACACCGCTCAAACCGCAATATCAACACCGCCCACTCTAGATACTAAAGCCGAGCTACCCAAAGAGTGCCTTTCTGAATCATCCCATACAGTTTTAACCAATAATGAATCTGATATTCACGTTCCCTCCTCAACAAAAACAAGCCAGGAAGAAGTCAATGCGACGACCGTCGGCGTTGAGGAAATCCTCGAAACACCCATTCCTGTCGAACAAGAAGCCGATTCGGAAGTAAAAAAGGACGAATCAGACATTAAAGATGTCGACGAAAATATCAAAATGGAAGTAGAATTGAACGGTTCTGAACCGGAAATACCCGAAACACCCGTCCTACCAGAGTCTCCCACTCTACCGGAGACTTTGGACTCGGACACGTCCGATACTACTGGAGATCTGCCACCGCCGCCTCCGCCGGAGGACGCGGACGACGACACGCTGAACGACGACGTCGCAATCGAAAAAATCGAGCCCCCAACTATCGACGAACTGCAGGAAGCCAACAACGTGGTCGATGCGCACATTTCCAACAGGGACGTCTCCGAAACCAACGGTATCGATAAAGAAGAAAAGATGAACGGAAATCTGGAGACGCAGCTGAAAGCGATGAACGTTGTCGTACTTGAAAATGCAATGGTTGAGTGCAACGGCAACACGCTGGAAGAGTGTGAGGCGGAAGAGTCGCAGCCGGCGCGCGCGTCTGCGTCGCCGCCGCCAGCCAGCCAGGTGACTAGCGGCTCCATGCTCTTGTAGTGGACTAGTACCGTATCATAACGAGTGTTCCCCGTTAACAGTTCTCGTATGTAGTTTCATGTGCATCTCCGCCAGCATGCGTGGACGGCCGATGGCCGGAAGGATTATTAAAGTGTGCTCGAATGATGTGTCCTTCGAACGCTAGAAGTCGCCCGCGGCCATCTTCCTCTTCCGTTTCCCTTCCTCGATGCTTCGTATCTTGTAGACTTGTTAATTTTTCATCAGCATGTAGACTAAACTTTGCTTCAGTGCTAACATTAATTAAAATTACCAGCAACTGTAATAATATGTACAATTACACGTTTTTTTATTCAAGCTCGGTTAAAATCAATACTGCTTTCAATCAAAAATTCACATGTAATATTTGTATATTCGTTTGTCCTTAGGACAATCATACTTTGACTCGATATGTGTCTTTAATTAATTTGTTGCTAATAAAAAGCAGAATTATGAATAATTCTATAAACTGTTTTTTTTGCATACTAATATGACTCGGAATGTTATAAATACACATTTAGCTTCACAAGCACCATTTTGTCTTGCGCTCTTATAACTATAGATTAATGTAGATAAGGGATAAATTGTGTTAATATTTTATTATGAATGAGTAGCCTTTGGACGTTTTTTAATTAAAATACAACTTTTAATATTTCAATGTAAAATTTATCATATTTCCTTAAAATGGCAGATCGCTAATTTTCATTGTATATCAAAAATACATCATTTTAAGCTTGATTTTGAATTTACAGGAACCTGTTGCGGTGTCAGATAAAATGGCTGACTTAATCCCCGAAGTTCCCGTAGTGCCAGTCTTAAACACTGAAACGGTATTTATTATTATCGACATAAAGATTAGAGATGAGCCAACTAGTCGGGAAAGACGACTATTCGGCATCGTTTATAGTCGGCGACTATTCGGTAAAACATGCCGATTATAGTCGGCACATAACAATGAAATAAAACTCAAAACTTATGCTTGTTAAGAATATTTAAACAGTACCTAGAGTATGTATTTAAAGTTACATACATTAACACAATAAGAATTAGGAACTTCAGAATATGTCAGTAATTCAGATGACATAAGACAAAAACACAATAAATATCGCACAAAACAACATTGCAATGGGAAGTAAGTATGTATTAATGAAGTAAAATCTTAAGTGCTAGCGAGTCTTAAAGAAGTCCATCAAGGTCATTTTTTTTACCTTAGAGGCAAATTGTGATGTTGGAACGTGAATATTTCGGCTCAATTTTGGAGACTCGTGTCGTGCGTGAGCAAGCCGAGTAGTGACGAAATATTCCAAACACCTTCCTAAGGTAGGTATAAGAATGATCGGCATTGCAGAATAGTCGGCCGACTAGAAAACCGATTAGTCGGTTAGTCGGCAAATACTATAGTCGGCCCATCTCTAATAAATATATTTATTTTGAAATTTAAACTTGAAGGTTTGCACAACTAATCGCTGTTTGCTTCAGTTACAGGAGACGAGCGACGCGGTGGTGGCCAATTAGGCACATTTCCGACTCGGCCGGCACAACGATTGTGTCTTTGAAAATGAGCCTTTAATTTATTTCTGTTAGTGCTATGGTCTGATGTCGAACCTAGTTCGATTGTCCATTGTATCACTGTCAAAGATGTGGATTTCGGTTCCCAATGTGACTCCATACTGAATAAATAGTATAAGTTTAGTGTGCTTTGCTTTTGTAAAATTAGGACTTTATACATTTTATTCGCTAGGATCGAGTTTTTTTTAAATAATTATTATATTCAATTAAAAGTTATATAGACAGTATACGGTGCGATAAGTTGGTGCCATTATTACAGGGGTTAGTTTGTCGTCAGCGCGTTGTACTCGCTCACATAAATTTACATGGAAACATACTTTTTGGAATCATGAGAATAAGTCAAATGTGACTGTAATCCCTAAAACTATAATCTCATTTTGTGTCATTAATTATTAGCTTATCCTGAATACTTTTTCGCATTGATTGTTGCATTTTACGGCATACCTATAAGTTGTGAACTTGATCCCAAAAAGCGAAAAAGTATTATTAATTAAATTTAATAGCCAAATTGTTGAAAACGTACGATAAGTGCAGAATAGTTGTAAACGCGCACGTAAGGTTTACTCAAAGACAAAATTTGTGTAAAGCTAATAATAAAATCAATCGAAGGCCAATAAATTACTTTGATAAGTACCTCTGAGCGATGATACGATTATTGGATGTAGAAGAGACGTATTATAATGTATATATGAATAATTGATTTTCCATATATTTGTTATTTTTATGTCAAGTAAATTGAAGTTAAAATTACGTACAGTGTAAATTGTTAAGATTGAAGTAATGAATTCAGTTAATCTCATTATGTTATTATCACTTTATGTGCTTATACGATATTCAACATTTATAATAAGTTGTATAAATTTAGTTTGTATTCGTATACATACTGGCTCTCTTAATGAACTTCTAAAACACAGTTTAATTATTGGTAAGTGATTAAGTACGCCTAAGTGAGACGTTACATATTTTAAACACGTTCTAAATTGTTCAAGTATTAATATTGTCGTAGTGATAATTGAGGAATGATTAGACTATGAATTCATAAATTTTGGATATAAATATTCAGTGGCCAAGTTTTTTTACATTATACAATTTTATCCATATACACATAATGTAACGTTTAGATTCGTAGTATGTGTAACATGTTAGCGTGGCAGCTCAGTACCGATCGCTGTCGTTAGTTTATTGGGTCCCACTTTAAGATACAATTATAGTCAGCTTAAGGTTTGATATAACTATATACAACGTGTGTCATTTCCTATTATCTAATACAGTAAATATATGATTTCATAATCAATTTGTAATTTTATACATTTTTTATGAAATAAAGTGACACATCAGCGTGACTGGAGGTTGCTCCAAATATAAATTTACAGTAAAAATTTGTGAGACATTCCATATCAAATGCTCCATTATATTCTAGTTTACTATGATGGAAGATCGTATACGTATCCGTGTGTAGTAAGTACCACCTAATGCTGTTATATTTAAATTCCTTTAGTTTTATTTATACTTTACGTAACCCTTTAATTGATTAACAGGTTTATGGAAGCGTGAAAGTTCCTTTAAATATTATGTCTAACACCTACCTGTTTGTGACGTCCTAAGGTACCCTAATTTGCTCACTATGGCTATTTGAGAATTGTATGATAACTAAATATGTTATTTCAATTTTAAATAAACTTATAATGTTGATGTGTGAATGTCTCTAATCAATAAATTTTTTAAATGGATTCCCTTTTTTTAATTATTTTCTACCCTACCAAACTAAACTACCTATATTAAAGAACAATTTGCAATACAAGGCTTATCTGTAAACGAAAAAAACAAGCATTCATAACGCTCGCTCGAAAACTTAAGACCACAGCTTAAGGCGCTTTGCAGACGACGGGGCGGGGTGGGCCGGTCAATTTCGCCCCGAATAATAGCACAAAGTGAATCCTATACTTCAAACGCTCCAAGAGGGCAAAAAGACCGCGCCGCAGGTGCCCGGCGGGCAGTGGCGGCGCGGCATGTCCGCGGCTGCCCGCCGTCACGGAGCACCCCCACTAGAGTCCGCATCACACAAATTTTGTTTGGAATCAAAGTCGGTGGGGTGCAGGGAGGTCAGCCCCGCTGTGATTGGACGCGTCAAGGTCAGATCATATACTCACTGCAGCGAAGTGATGAGGGTAAGATCGATTTTAGAAAATATCGATTTTTTTCTATCGATAAACAATTTAGAATAGAGGCCTAGTACTTTGGTGCGCAAATGCGTAATCATACCCTCTCCACTTTCTTACAGCGTTCTAATTACATGACGCGACTAGTAACTACATACTAAATTATATATAAGCAACACAAAAAAAAAGCACGTCCAGGACAAGAAGTATTAATGCAACGATATTAACTACCCTAGATACAACAACACGAACAAAATCGTGGCCGAAACGTGTCCAAAAGGTACATTGGACGATCCACGGAGGTCCGTAAGATGATCGCGTGGTCTAAAACAATATAATGCCTTATTTAAACATTGAAAGTCATCTTTAATGCATACGGCATAAGGTCTTAATTAAAATGCATGCGTCAAGTTCGTAAAATTTTACGATTTAGTGTTATATGTGAAAGAATATAGACCTTATTTTTTTTTACTTTACACGCGCAATTCTATATGCGCTGTTAGCAATATAGCAGGTACAGACCGCGAAGAAAAGAGATGGCTAAGGGCGACGTATAACTGACCATGCATTTGAATATCACAAATATTTTAAATTAAATCAGTTTATAGTAAGTATTACAACAATAAAATTTACTTTAAAGGCGTTAATTAAAAAACATTAATTAGATACCCGTCGAAAAAACGACACTTTACGTACTATTAGTATTTTTCTGCATTTTTTCACGGAACTCTTTGGCATCTTGACTTTTCAACGGTCCGCGTGTGACTGTGTACTAAGAAGTGCTTGAGTGGAGTTCAAGCACTTCTTGATTGGGACACATTTTGAGCGGTCGTGGTGTATCTAGGGTATTTAATATCGTTAATTCTATGTCTTTATCTAGGTCATAAACTATGCGCACTTAATTTCATACAAATCCGTTTAACCGTTTTAGCGTGAAAGAGTAACTAACAAATATGCATACAAATTTTCGCGTTATTTAAATTTTATTAGGATATGTTTGACTTCAATCAAATAAAAACTGTTGGTTGTATACTTATGACATCTATTATTGTATACGATGAAATAAATAGTTTTTATTTATTTTTTCCATTTCCATAGCTGACAAACTTATCGACAAACTTACGCGTTGAGACATAGCTGCGTGCGTCTGAGTCACTAGCAATACACGTGCCGGTGTGAGAGCGAGATAGCATATATGATGTAGCCCATGCGAGAAAGGGATAGTGTAAAAAGACATCAACGCGTTCACTAAAAAATAAATACATTAACAGCAATTTAATATGACAGTATTTTTGTCTTTTTGTCATGCATTTAAACTAACCAGTGAAAAGTAATACCATTTTTTTGAAGACTGGAAGTTGTACTCGACTTTCCACACAATTTAATTGCACAGTACGGCATTTTTTACAGTTTTTTAACACGAAAACGAGAGAAGCAGTTCGACCAACGCTCGGTTACCGAATGAAACGATGTATCGCGACGTCTGTAGGCGTGCCTCACGCATAGGTAAAATACTACTTAAGCTTGGCGTAAGCGCTTGCCCTTGTATGCGGACTCTAGTGGGGGTGCTCCGTGGTACGTAACAAATAATTTTAGAGCTTAGTTAATAAAAGATAAAGTTATTAGATTTATAAAAAGATTATAACTTAGATTGATTTAATCTAAGGCTAATAATTCAAATGCAAATTATTTATTATTCGGACAACATAGATCATAATGACCAGCTGACCAGCGCGTGTCGGCGCTTATCGGCGCTGAACGGCGCTCAGCCGCGCTGGTCCATAGAAAAAGGATCGGCTTTCGGCTTTCTTTCTGTATACGGCCTATGAGTTTGATTCCATGGAAGATGGACCGGGTGTTAGTATGGGATGCAACCTGTTCAGACACGCTAGAGCCTTCCCATCTACATGGAACCAACAACAGAGCTGGTGCGGCTTGCGAAGCGGCTGAAAAAGCTAAGGCATGCAAATACAGGGGTCTAGGCTCCGAATATGATTTTGTCCCATTCGGTGTCGAGACCCTTGGTCCGTGGGGTCCTAGCGCTGTAAGGCTTTTTAAGGAAATAGCAAAAAGGTTGGTCGACATCACAGGAGAATTTATATGAAGTTCTATGCAACCTCGCACAGCCACCCGCGTCGCAGACGCAGCAGTCCCTGAAACTACCGAACTCCCCAAGCCGTAGCTGATGACGTCACCAACGCAGGCCCGAACGCAGCGGACGCTGCGGCTAGCGCGTCGCGGATGACGTCATTCGCATCAACTGAATGAAAGAAATCAAGTGCGATGCGTGCGGCAACGGGAACGACTGCAGTGACTGCGATGCGGATATATGTGCGAGGCCATTAACAAAAAGCGAAGCGAAGAGTGCGGCCAAGTCTGCGTTCACCTTAAGACGTCAAAATGTCTGCCGGCCCTTGACATGGCTATTCGTATTATCTATTTGTAAACTGCCTGTCCTTATCTTGCTTAATAGGGAATGAAAAGGACAGAATGATGTCAAGTTTACAAATAGCAAACACAAATAGCTAAATACCGGAATAATGAACAGAGTGTAAAGTAGTAAGCTAGTAAGTATTACCATACCAAACAAATACCAAAACGAAAGCGTATTGAATGTTTTAAAGTTGTTATAGTTATAGATTGGTGTCGATTCTGGCGTGATTCTCTAAACTTAAAACTAAATTTAACATCAGTCTTTCCCTTTCATTTTGTATAGAAAATGCCAAAGATGCACTGTTGTCAAATTTTTAGTTTAGCTTTAGAGAATCATGTCAGAATCAACACCATTGATTAGTAATTAAAAACAACAGGCATGCCCTAACCGGGGTATTTTAATTGTACTTAAAAGTATTGTATTGTACCTTCTCTCTAGGTAGGTTGGATACTCGCCTTCCCGGACTCATCGAGCAACACCACCGGCCGATAGCCCGCTGGAGAGTCCGCCGGGCGGCCCTGGGCACGGGGCTGGACCTGGCAGACTGCCAGTACGGCTTCCGCACCGGCCGGTCCACGATGGACGCAATAGGCCACCTCAAAAGGTGAACTGAGGTGGCCACAGCACGGGGGGAGGTGGTGATCGCGGTGTCCCTGGACATCGCGAACGCGTTCAACACCATCCCCCACGAGTGCATAGAGGCGGCGCTCGAATTCCACCGAGTGCCCCTCTACCTCCGCGCCCTCGTGAGGGACTACCTGCGGGACAGGTCAGTCCTCTACGAGGACGCAGAGGGGTGCGTTCAGTCGTGGACAGTGGCGGCAGGTGTGCCCCAAGGTTCCGTTTTAGGCCCTCTATTATGGAACCTGGGGTACAACTGGATCCTGCGTGGCTCGCTCTTGCCGCGAATGGATGTCGTCTGCTTTGCGGACGACACCCTTGTCGCGGCGAGAGCGAAGGAGTGGGAGGAGGTGCTCCACCTTGCGTCGGTCGACACCTCCATGGTCGTCCGATTCATCCGCCTCCTGGGGCTGGAGGTGGCCCTCGATAAAACGAGGGCCATGGCGTTCCATACCCCAAGACGCAGGACCCCACCGGGGCTCCGTGTCCGGGTTGAGGGGATCCAGGTTCATGTCGAGATGCACATGAAGTATTTCGGCCTGACCCTGGATCCCCGGTGGAGGTTCGAGGAGCATTTTAGGCTCCTCGCTCCCCGGCTGTGGGCCGCAGCAGCCGGACTCGGACGGCTCCTCCCCAATGTGGGAGGGCCGAGGGCGTCGTGCCGTCGACTTTATAATGGAGTGATAAGGTCGATGGCACTGTACGGAGCCCCGGTGTGGACGGAGTGCCTTTCGTCCCGCACAGAGGCCCTCTTACGGAGACCACAGAGGGTCATCGCGGCCCGGGCCGTGCGGGCTTACCGCACGGTCAGCCACGGGGCTGCCTGCGTCCTCGCAGGTACGCTCCCGTGGGAGATCGATGCCCTGGTTCTGTCCCAGGTGCATCAACACAGGGCCGCGGCGAGAGAGCGGGGCGAGCGGCCCGTTCGGGAGGAGATCGAACGGGTCCGCACCCAGGCGCAGAGGGAGACTCTGCGCCGATGGGGCGAGGCACTCGCCAACCCAGCCGCTGGCCACCGGACGATCGAGGCGATCCGTCCGGTGTTGGAGGAGTGGGTAGGGCGTCAGCGGGGCAGCCTCACCTACCGCCTGGTGCAGGTACTGACCGGACATGGGTGCTTTGGCCACTACCTGCACCGTGTCGCCCGTCGGGAGGAGTTGCCGCGGTGTCATCACTGCGCCTCCCCCGACGACACGGCCGAGCACACACTGATCGTGTGCCCGGCCTGGCGAAACGAGCGCCGCACGTTGGTGGCGGCGCTCGGCGGTGGAGCGCTCTCATTGCCAAGTATGGTTCGAGCCATGCTTGGCAATGAGAGAGCATGGAAGGCTGCCGCCTCCTTCTGCGAGGTTGTGATGGGGCAGAAGGAGGCAGCGGAGAGGGAGCGGGAGGAGGACGCTCTGGCCGCTCCCCTCCGGCGTAGACGGGTGGGCCGAAGAAGGCAGTACCTAGTACCCTAGAGTAATCCCCCATAGGCGCGTCGCCTGGTCCGATCGTTGGGCCGGGCCAGCCCGAG